TGTTATGGTCTTCGGAGGGAGTTGGGACACTTACTTACCCCTGGCTGAGTTTTTCTTACAACAACATCCATCATTCGAGTATTGGTATGCCTCCCTTTGAGGTTCTGTACGGGAGAAGGTGTCGGACTCCCATTTGCTGGGGAGAGGTAGGGCAAAGAGTGATGGGTGGCACTGAGATAATGCTGAAGACGACTGAGCAGATTCAGCAGGTCATACAGAGGTTACTGACAGCCCAGAGTCGCCAGAAGAGTTACGCAGATCGACGACGATCCGAGCTAGAGTTCTAGGTTGGAGACTTTGTCCTCCTGAAGGTATCCCCATGGAAAGGGGTGATTTGATTTAGTAAACGGGGAAAACTGGGGCCCCGATACATCGGTTCTTTCAGAGTGACTGCCAGAGTGGGTAAGGTAGCATACCGGTTGGAGCTACCTGTAGAGTTGAGTCAGATTCATAACAACTTCCACGTGTCTCAGCTGAGGAAGTGTGTAGCCAACGAGACACCAGTGGTGCCATTAGAGGACAATCAGGTGGATGCGAGCCTGAATTATATTGAGAGGCCGATTGCGATCATGGATCGAAAGGTGAAGGTTCTGAGGAACAAAGAGGTGCCCCTGGTTCAGGTCCAGTGGCAACATCGGAGAGGGTCCGAGTTGACTTGGGATCCGGAATCCGAGATGCGAGAGCAGTACCCAGAGCTATTTCCAGAGCATGACTTCGAGGGCGAAGTCTGATCCTAGTGGGGGAGAATTGTAACATACGGACTTATAGGTATATTATCTATTCATTTATTTTGAGGACTATTGGGCAACTCGACGAGTAGAGTCGCGATGTGCCATGTGGGATTAATGATCTACTCGACGAGTCAGAGAGTCGACTCGCTGAGTAGACGTTGTGAAGAGAAACCATTAATGCCCGGGTTTGGGGCCTATATAAGGACACTTATAGCCTCATTTGTGGCTCATCATCTCCTTAACCCTACTGTGTGAAACCCTAAACGAGTGTAGTGAGCTAAGAGAGTCTCCAAAGCTAACCTTGAAGGATTTTAGTGCATCTTTGAGGAGGAAGAGGAGGTTGTTCAGCAAGAAACAACAAAGAGCTGTTGGGGTCCAGGCCATTTTGTCCAGAGCTTCAAGAGGAAGGTAAAAAGCTTGAACCTTTCCCCTTTATTTGGTTAGATCTCATGAGTTTGAGAGATTAGGGTTTTCATCACAATTTATTTGGGACTTGGAGCATACTAAGTTATCAAGAGGTTTAAACCTCAGATCTGGACCTTGTGAGGTCCCTAGAGCCTAAAGGTCCCAACTTTATTCATTCATATGAGGAGTATGGTGTTTAACACCTTGTGAAAACATGTATTGGTAGATTGGAGCAAAACCACCATGCATGAGCGTAAAGATCGAAGCTTTACGTGACAATCGAGCCTTAGGATGGTAGATCTAGTGTTTGGAGTGATAGATCTGCCTTAAAACGTCTGAATGAGAAATCAGATCGAAGAGACTCGCCGAGTCCATGTCCTGACTCGACGAGTTGGTTAGGATTTGTCCCGATGAGCTTGATCATGCGGAAGCTCGACGAGTTGGGGGTCAACTCGACGAGCTGAGTTGGACCTTTCATGAGACTTCTGAGGAAAACAGGTGGACTCGACGAGTCGCCTAGATGCACTCGACGAGCCGGGTCAAACTTGGACTGTTGACTCGAGTTTACTACTGTTGACTTTAGGGTTTGGTCAATATGAGTAATGGAGACCATGGAGGGGTAAAATGGTCTTTTACCCATTCCAAGAAAGAGAGAGAGAGAGAGAGAGAGAGAGAGAGAGAGAGAGAGTAACCTTTGGTATATTTGAGTATAAGTAGAGTAATTAGAAATGATTATCCTATGTGTTAGGTGGAGGCTAGTTCGAGATTTCCGAGTACGAGACTTTTACTTGCTAGCCTACGAGGTGAGTCTTCTCACTATACTTACCATGAGTGGTACCTTTGTGTGATTGAGATGTTTATTGTGCTTAACTGTGTATCATAATATTTTACACCATGTCTTGTGAATTATGCTGAGTATTGTTATTATGAGCTTATTGAGTTGGGACCAGAGGGTCCCACTGAGACGCATTGACCGGAGGGTCTTATTGAGTTATAGCCTAGAGTGGCTAATGAGTCGTGTATGGTATTTTGGGGAACTCACTAAGCTTCGTGCTTACCGTGTTATGTGTTTCAGGTACTTCCAATGATCACGGGAAGGCGTCGGCTTGATTGTACACGCACCTGCGTCGGAGATATGTTTTTGGAGGATCCTGGATTTGTGTTATAAACGGGTTTTGAGACAAGTGTTTTGATAACTTGATGTTTGTGGAAATTGTGATTTTGAAATTATATATTTTTGCTTTTAAATGAAAAATTTTGGTTGAAAATTTACGGTGTTACAGGTATCAAGGTAAGTACATAATATTTTAAACACATGTCGACAATATTTTCATGTTATATGCTTTGTGATTATATGTGTTATGCATTTCTTATTACTATATGTATTTAAGCGTGTACTCTTCAAGTAACATCTTCTTCTTCTTTTGTTGTTTTTTTGTTTTTGTTTTGAGAAGTGGGTTATGACTTATGAGAAAGGGATATCTTTCAAGATGTTTTATCATTTTTAAAGACATTTTCGACATTACATTAATATACATTCATTTATATTGAGATATAAACAAATAGGCTAGTATGGCCAAGACACTTATGATGACGTGAATATCTAACTTATGATGGTTGAATGATGTCTGAGATAGTTTTGATAATATTCAATAGATTTCCTCTATATTAATCCATAAATTTTGAAGTACGTTCAAATAGTTGTATGAAAGACGATTTTAAGAATTTATCATAAAATAAAGGGAGTCTAGATTAGAGAGTTAAGAGTTTGGTATAAAGGTAAGTACATAATATTTTAAACACATGTCGATAGTATTTTCATGTTATATGCTTTGTGATTATATATGTTATGCATTTCTTATTACTATATGTATTTAAGCATGTAGTCTTCAAGTAATATATTTTTATTCTTTTGTTGTTTTGTTGTTTTTATTTTGAGAAGTAGGTTATCATTTTTAAAGACACTTTCGAGATTACATTAATTTACATTCATTTATATTGAGATATAGACGAATAGGCTAGTATGGCCAAGACACTTATGATGACGTGAATATCTAACTTATGATGGTTAAATGATGTCTGAAATACTTTTGATAAAATTCAGTAGATTTCCTTTATAATAATCCATAAATTTGATAAAATTCAGTAGATTTCCTTTATAATAATCCATAAATTTTATAGTACGTTCAAATAGTTGTATGAAAGACGATTTTAAGAACTTATCATAAAATAAAGGGAAAATAACTTTTGAGGGTAATGAACTGTTGATTTTGTTCACATTTAGTCATTTTTCTTTTTTCGTATACTATACACCGTCCAACTTGTTGAACATGTTCACATATTACTCTTACGACCTGCTATTGTAGGTAAAAATGTAATACGTGAACATTTTCAACAAGTTGGATAGTATATAATGTATAAAAAGAAAATGATTAAATGTGAACAAAAAACATAACCCACCGCCACCTCTGCCACCTCTACTACAACCACCATCACCACCACCTTCACCTCCTCCACCTCCACCACCACATTCGCCTCTGCCACCAACGTTAGTAGTGGTGGCAATGGAGGAGGTGGATGTGGTGTTGGTGTCGGCGGTGGAAGTGGTGGTGGCGGAGGTGGATGTTGAGGTGGTATCGGTGGCGGCGGTGGAGGTAGCGGTGGAGGTGGTGGTGACGGAGGCGAAGGTGGAGGCGGTGGTGACGGGAATTAGATCATTTTTCTTTTTGTTTGTTATATACTATCCAACTTGTTGAAACTTTTCACATATTACTTTTTTACCCACAACAACAGGTCGCAAGTGTAATATGTATACATGCTTGTTCGGCATATGATGTAAAAAAAAAAAAAAAAAAAAAAAAAAAAAAAAAACAAATATAAACAAACAAAGAGTTCATTAAACTCCATAGTCATGTTTCCTAAAATGGAGAAAGAGGGCACATCTGGAATATGCAGCATTTAAAAGACAATAATTCCCACGTGTACCCGAAATATATAACGTCATAAACCAACATACAAGCTTTTGCGCGCTTAATGCATGTTAATGCCGCCTCCCCCTATATTTTTCACCTTCCCCAAACCCTCACAATTTCTCCCAAATTCAAACCCTTAATTTTGATATTTCTCACATCAGTCATTACAACGGGATTTAACCTGTTTATTGCATTCTTCTTCTCGTTGAGATCCATAAATTTGCTGAGGAAAAAAAGGTAAAATCTCAATGTTTCATCTTCGTGATCACGATTGTGTGACGCCCGTCCTAAAATCTTGTAAATTTGCATTGTTATGAGTTTAATGTATGTGATTCCCGCTTTAAAGTTTTTTCCCCTCAATCTTAGGATCATGTAGTTGAATCGATGATTTTCTGGCTTTTTGCCGTTGATTGTCATTTGCGAATGTGTTCGGTTGAGGAAAACAGATAAGCAAATTGTTTTGGGACGTTTAGGCTTCGCGAAACAAGAATGTGATTTTTTTAATTTATTTTGTAGTTTTGCTAGATGTTTAGAATCTAGATTGCAAGATATAACATAAAAACTTAGGGATTCATATTTTTTTAGATTATCTGTTAGTTATCATCTGAAGCTCATAAAGTTGTAATGCTTGTGAGTTGTGACATGAATTTCGACTGAAACTGTAGGTGGTGTTTGGTCTTGGATAAAGAACATGGCTAGTCTTTCAGATATTGCTGTATCTGCTGCTATTAACTGTTTGTCTGCAGTACTATTTCTGGTGGCATTTGCAATTTTACGGCTTCAACCCATCAATGATAGAGTTTACTTCCCAAAATGGTATCTCAAGGGCATAAGAGATAGTCCAACTAGTTCAGGAACTTATGTAAAGAAGTTTGTTAATCTAGATGTCAAAATGTACCTAAAGTTCTTGAATTGGATGCCTGCTGCCTTAAGAATGCCAGAACCTGAGCTTATCGAACATGCTGGACTTGATTCTGCTGTGTATGTTCGAATATACCTTCTCGGGTGAGCACCTTTTGGAGTCTGAGTAGCCAAAATCAAAACTTAAAACCTAAATGCTACTTTTCCTGATTCTGTTAATGTCAAATTTTTTATGCAGCTTGAAAATATTTTGCCCCATCACTCTTCTTGCATTTGGTGTTTTGGTACCTGTTAATTATACGGGGGAGAATTTCGAGGAAATGAGAGTAAATAGGCGAGATCTAACTTACAATGATATTGACAAGCTCTCGATATCCAATGTTGCTCCTGGATCGAGAAGGTTTTTTTTTTATTTTACGTACTTCCATTTGTGATTCTGATAACATAATTTTAGTATATGTATTTAGTGTTGCCATCATCATTATCAGGTTATATGCCCATATAGTAATGGCTTACGTCTTCACATTATGGACATGCTACGCCCTTTACAATGAATACAGGATTGTAACAAAAATGAGGCTGCATTTTCTTGCTGCTGAAAGACGTCGCCCTGATCAATTTACAGTGAGTAATAGTCAACAAAAATGGGCAGAGATATATGATTTTTGAAATAAGTTATGGAGTAATTTTATAATAATCATAAAATATAATTGCTCTTGTAGGTTCTTGTGAGAAATGTTCCTCCAGACGATGATGAGTCTATTAGTGAGCATGTTGAACATTTCTTCTGTGTTAATCACCCTGATCATTATCTTTCACATCAGGTGTGCGAGCTTCTTTTTTTGTGGAACTTATTTCATACATTTGGCTAATCTGGGTATGTAATTTTGGAGTTTTAGGTAGTGTACAATGCAAATGCTCTTGCAGATATGGTGATAATGAAGAAGACTTTGCAAAATTGGCTTACTTACTACACCAACAAGTTTGAGAGAAACCCTAATAAAAGGCCAACTACCAAGGTATTTGACTAGACTTCATCTAGCTTTCATTGCTGCAAGTCATTTTAAGTTTAGGTATCTATATAGACAGGTTTTTTGGGTCTTTGGGGAAAACATGTGGATGCGATTGATTTTTATACACAACAAATCGAGGCTCTAAGCAAAGAAGTAAGTATACAAAATAGTCGAGAATGATTGATTTATTTATATAATACAGTTTCTATAACCTAGTCTTTTATATATATATATATATATATATATATATATATATATATATATATATATACAATAATAGGAGGAAGCAGAAAGAGAAAGGGTGTTGAATGATGCAAATGCAATTGTACCTGCAGCATTCGTTTCATTTAAATCGCGATGGGGTGCAGCTGTTTGTGCTCAAACACAACAATCAAACAATCCCACAATTTGGCTCACAGATTGGGCCCCTGAACCACGCGATGTTTACTGGGACAATCTTCGCATACCATATGTGGAACTTAAACTTAGAAGATTGCTAATGTCTGTTGCTCTATTTGGTCTTACTTTCTGCTTTATGGTCCCTATAGCCTTTGTTCAAACTCTGGCTAATATCGAGTCAATTCAGAAGTATCTTCCCTTTATGAAGCCTCTTATTGAAATGTAAGTAAACTTTTCAGCTTTAACAGAAAATTACGTTTTTGGTTTTTATTCGAGGTTCTTTGGTCCCTGAGTATAGCTGATTTTTAAAATTTTATTCCCAAAAAGTTTTCTTTTGCAGGTTTTTGTAATGTTTTTTCGTCCCTGGTCCAAGTAATACGACTATAATCAATTAGGGACCAAAAGTAGTCGTTTTTGTTGAAACAGGGACCAAGTCCAAAAAGCTCAAACAAGTTGGAAAAGTGCAAGAGAATAGTTTTTAGGACCAAAACAGTTATACTCGGGGACCAAAAAATGTAATTTTATGATCTATAGTCAATTTACTTGGAACAGGGACCAAAAACCTGAATAAGGGCCAAGAGAAACAATGAGCTGTAGTGAAGGACCAGAAATGTAATTTATTCATGAAATGTTTTGTTGCAGTGAATCAGTGAAGGCTATCATTCAAGGTTACCTTCCTGGAATTATACTAAAAATATTTCTGATTCTTCTTCCAACAATCATAATGACGATGTCAAAAATAGAGGGGTTTACTGCATTATCGGCTTTGGAGACTCGTTCAGCTGGAAAATATTATTTATTTTTGCTTGTGAATGTGTTTCTTGGAAGCATCATTACAGGAACTGCTCTTCAGCAACTTCAAGGACTCTTGAATCAGTCCCCAACCATGTCTGATATCTCTACAATTACTAATTTGCATCTCCCAAAACAATACTATTTGGGTAATGGAATAAATATTAAAAAATTACAAGTTTTTTGGATGAATGCAGGATTCCACAAACTGTTGGTGTATCGATCCCAATGAAAGCCACATTCTTCATAACATATGTGATGGTAGATGGTTGGTCAGGCATAGCAGCAGAGATTTTGAGACTGGTTCCTTTGGTGGTTTTTCACTTGAAAAACACGTTTTTGGTGAAAACAGAAAAGGACAGAGAACAAGCCATGGATCCTGGTTCCTTGACTTGGGCAATATCAGAGCCTCGCATACAATTATACTTTTTGCTTGGATTAGTCTACTCCACCGTCACCCCTATTCTACTCCCATTCATTGTTGTCTTTTTTGCCTTCTCCTTTTTGGTTTTTCGCCATCAGGTACCCCAATAAATACATAAATAAATCAATATATTAATTATATCTGATTTTTTTGAAAATGGATGTTATAGATTATCAATGTGTACGATCAGAAGTATGAGAGTGGCGCGACATTTTGGCCAGATGTTCATCGCCGGATAATCATTGGATTGATACTTTCACAGTTTCTGTTCTTGGGATTGCTCAACACCAAAAAAGCATACAACGCAACATATTTCCTGATTCCACTTCCTATCTTGACCTTCTGGTTTTTTAGAGTTTGCAAGGGGCGCTTTGAATCTCAATTCAAGAAATTCCCGTTAGAGGTAACATATTTTTAATTAATTATGCGTTAAAGTGACAATACTGAATATTGATTGATGTGACAGGATGCGATGAAAAAAGACACACTAGAGAAGGCAACAGAACCAAACCTCAACATAAAAACGTATCTGCAAGATGCATACGTGCACCCGGTTTTCAAGGGTGCAATAGAGTTTGAGAGACCGAGGGTGATTGATGAAGAAGAAAACAATCCACTGGTGTTGACAAAGAGGAGTTTTCATAGACATCATCATGGTAAACAAAAACAAGAAGAAGAAGAAGACACTTCTGAGGACAGAATGGGTATTTCAGCAGTTTGAACTTGGGTTTGGGTGCGGTTTCTTGTGTATTCTTGATCTAAAAATCGGTTTTCAATTTATTTCAGAGACGTCGTCGTCCAAGGGAGGTTCTAAAGCAGGTCCGACAGTGATAACGGCGCAGGACAAGCTGTGACTAATTTGCGTATGTTGTGTATTATATGTAAATCTAGGAACTCAGTTAGTTCATATAGCGAGTCTGAGTCTGAGTCGAGTCAATTAATTGTGTACAGTTAATTAACCTACCTCATCAAATACCACTTAACAGTTAACACGCACCAAGTACCAACTCTTTTTTCTTCTGCATATCATCTCATCTGTTCTGTAAATCTTCTTCTTTTTTGTGGACAAGATTACACTACATGAGTAAAGGGTAAAGCTGGAAAATCGGTTTATCTTGATGATAAACTTAATTTTACATCTGACCATTAATTTTCAGATCTTTGACAACGTGGTTATATATGGAGTGAGTTAACGCAAATACCAAGGATTAATATTTTATCATATTAAAGCGTTGCTATCCTCATTCATACACAAATCTAAGGCTTCTTCATCACCTCCACCTGGGGAGGTAGAAAACATCCAACCCGACCTAGCTCGTTATTACTTTCATGTAACTTGGATGCTCATATGCTTTCAATGCACCACAAACGTAAATTCAAGAATCAAATCATATTAAAAAAGGTAAAAACGTGCATTTTTTAACCTATGTTCATACATCTCTTGATATCCTGCATATACCCAAAAAAAAAAAGACCCTTTGGTAAGGTTATTCGGTTTTCGAACAGTCCGGTTAGGCTAAATCCAAATAAGGTTGATTTATCGGTTTGGTTTTGATTAATTTTTCACCATTTTGGATAAATCGCAAGAGTCAAATAAATCATTATATTAATATGTTTATATTTTATATGTATTTATTAATTACTTTAGCGTAATTATTTATGATTTTATTGGCTCCTTGTGTCATACTAAGACCGCTTAGTTTTACTATGTACTCTTAATAGTATTTTATTTATGTTATACTCATAGTACATATAATGTCGCAATAACGTAAAACATTTGATTTTGATATATGTAATGTATGCTCTAAACAAACTATGTACATGTATGATGTATCATCAAATCTCAAGTAAGGTACTAACCTTATGGTTTCAAAATGTTTTCCTAACTTTTTTATGAAAATCGATGCATAATTACCCACAAGCAGCAAAACTTTTACCAGAAATAACAACATAAACAAAATTTGTGAAAAATAGATAACTAGGTAATCGTCATTTTACCCAGAGCAACTGTTGACCAACTCAGATCATCAAGGCTATATGATTGATCGATTAGGGATAATCGATCGGGAGCTTTGGCAACTGGTCCCTCATGTTTGTCATTTTGATGTTCGGTTGTTTGGTTTGCTCATAGATTTAGTTTATACCTACAAAATTAACAGAATTTTGGTTTAAACTTCATTTGGAGATGGTTTTCTGCTTCAACCAATCCCCAAAGATCAAAACTTTATGTTGATCTATACTTTACAATTAAATCGAACAAAATGGTTAAACCGGACACCTTTCTTTTCAGTATCCACGAAAAAAGTAAGTATACGGGATGTTCTTCACTTCTCCCTTTGGCCAACTTCCTCTTTCTCTCTACCTCTTTGTGGTCGGCGGCCTCTAGGGTGGTCAACCATGCAAAAAATTTGAAACCTAAAGGATTGTCGTGCCAAATTCTTAAAAGTTGGATTCAAATTACAAGTTTATATATACCATAGGGACCATTTCTGTAATCTGTTCAAACAATTATTTGATTTTTATTGTAAAAAAAAAAAAAAAAAAAAAAAAAAAGCAAAAGTCTTGAAAGAAATCCCTTCGAGTTCGAGGGCTCACATCCAAACACCACCTGTTAAGACGGACGTCACAAATCTGCGGCCCTCATAACCGGAGATATAATTTTGAAAATCGCACATTCTCACTCTTCACTAAATCCCAAAATTCATACGAATTTGAATCGAATTACCATAGTTCATCATCACCTTGGCGGAGGTTCTGTTAAAATGCAGCTTTTCCGCTACTCATCAATCTCAATGCTGTGAGTTTTCTCAGTATCTTCTACTTTAATTCTCTTTTATCTCCTTGAATTTCTTAGCATCTATTATTAATGCGTCTGAGTCACTTCAACTCTTCATTGTCATATTTGACGATTTATAGCTTATGCTAGAAGGTTTTAGTATTGATCGACAGTTCTGATATTGATTATCCTAGGTTTTCATAACTGATGTGGTATATTAATGATCTGTTTAAAGTTTTCATTTGAAAACATTCTATATTTCCATGCGCTAATCCATTTGTTACATGATAAGATTGTCCATTTTGCTAAAAGTGATTTCTTTGTCCAATATCAGATTGTCTGAGATCACGTTTTAATGTCTGCACAATATGGAAAGTGGACTCAAATTATGAAATGGAAGGAGTACGCTATGTTATTTATCAACATCATTGAACATTTTATGTTATTTTTTCTATATTTCACTGGTGGACTGGATGAAAGTATCTGTCTTGATCAAGTACCATCTATAATCAGGATTAGAATGTAATTTTCCTACATCTTTTATTAAAATTGTTGTTCGGGTTGCTGATTCTTCTTACTTTAAGCAGAGGGAGATCAAGAATTAAGTAGAATAATTTGGTTTCTGCAAGTTTTATGTCTGCACTCGTGGGTTGTACTTCATTCAGACATATCAACAGCCATGATTTCATTATCCTCTGCAACTCAACCTTCTTGCCTAACCTGTGGAACTATCAAAGTCTCCAAGTTGATTATTGCTGATAGTTGCAAATATGGTAGAAGAGTGGCACAAACACCAGGGAGAATCAATGTGGAACAAAACCTAGTGTTTGGAGAAGTTGCTAAGAAGATGATAAAAGATTCTTGCCACACCCGTAGAATAAGTGTATTGGCTGCTTCAACTTTTCCTGTTATTCAACCTGCCAACAAATTATCCACTTATTTGTTTAGAACAGAAAAGGGTGGCCATGTGAAGGTTATTACCGGGTTAAAAAACGACAAGCATAGGGTGAATCTTGAAGTTTCCTCTTTGCATGACAATGATGATGATGTGATCATGAGTTGGGGCATATTTAGATCTGATTCATCATCACTAATCCCTCTGGAGTCGAGTGATTCTGGAATCTTTGAAACCCCTTTTGTGAATAAATCCTTAAACAAGCTTTCCACTGAATTGGAATTTGATGCAAGTTTAGCTCCCTTCTATGTTTCATTCCTATTGAAGTCTCATTTTGGTGGTGAAAAGATCGAGATCAGAAGCCATAGAAGGACAAATTTCTGTTTCCCAGTAGGCATAAGATCAGGATCTCCTGCTCCACTTGGCCTTTCATATTCAGCTGATGGCAGCATCAACTTTGCCCTTTTCTCAAGAAACGCCGAAAGTGTAATCCTATGTTTATTTGACAACAGATCTAAAGAAAACCCCGCTTTAGAAATTGATCTGGATCCTTATGTGAATCGATCAGGTGACATCTGGCATGCATCAGTGGACAGTGACATGAACTTCGTGTCATACGGGTATCGAGTCAGAAACAGTGGTCAAGACAAGTCTTATGAGCATCAAGTCCTATTAGATCCATATGCTAAAGTCATAGGAGAGAAGTTTCTTGGTGAAATTTGTAAGCAACCTACTTTTGATTGGAGTGATGACATTCGCCCTTGTTTACCCATGGAGAAACTAATGGTTTATCGGTTAAATGTAATGGATTTCACAAAAGATCCATCTAGCAAATTGACAAACGAAGTTGAAGGGACGTTTTTGGGTGTTAGTGAGAAGTTAGATCACTTCAAGAATCTTGGTGTTAACGCCATCTTATTAGAGCCAATAGCTCCATACGATAAACAAGTTGGACCATATTTCCCATCTCATTTCTTTTCACCACAGAATCCGTTGACCATTCAGTCAATGAAGGAGATGGTAAAGAGATTACATGCAAACGGAATCGAGGTCTTAATGGAAGTTGTCCTCACCCATACTAGTCAAACCGCATCGTTGACCAAGATTGATAGACCTTCCTATTATCTTTCAACTAAAAATGAACTGAATTGTGCGCATCCTGTTGTTCAACAGCTGATTTTAGATAGTCTTAGAAATTGGGTGATTGAGTATCATATCGATGGGTTTTGTTTCATCAATGCTTCTTCAATGTTATGTGGATTTAATGGAGAAATTCTCTCTCGTCCACCTTTAATTGAAGCAACTTCTTTTGATCCTATACTTTCCAACACCAAACTTATAGCAGATTCTTTCAACCCATTTCAAAAATCCACAAAAGAAATCCAGTTTCCACATTGGAAAAGATGGGCGGAAATGAACACGGAATTTTTCAGGGATACCAGAAATTATCTAAGAGGCGAGACTCTCGTTAGTAATCTCGCAACACGGATATGTGGGAGCGGTGATATCTTCTTAAATGGTCGTGGGCCTGCCTTTTGTTTCAATTTCGTGTCAAGGAACCATGGGTTGACTCTTGTTGACTCGGTGAGTTTTAGTAACGCGAGTGAGTTAAGCTGGAACTGTGGGGAAGAAGGTGCTACGAAAAGGAAAAGTGTTCTTGAAACTAGATTGAAACAGATCCGTAATTATTTATTTATTTTATATATTTCTCTGGGTGTTCCTGTTTTGAATATGGGAGACGAATGCGGTCAATCGTCAGGGGGTTCGGTCAACCGAAGCGATCGAAAACCGTTCAATTGGAATGCATTACAAACCGGTTTCGCGATTCAAACGACGGAATTCATTTCGTTCTTGAGTGCGTTAAAAATCAGGCGAAGTGATCTTCTTCAGAGGTGGGAGTTTTTAAAGGTTGAAAATATCGATTGGTATGGGACCAATTTGTCCCCACCAAATTGGGAAGATCCAACTACCAAGTTTTTAGCGGTTAGTTTGAAGGTTGAGAAAGAAATAAACAGAGATGATGAAAGTGTGTTGGATGGTGACATGTTTGCCGCTTTCAATGGCGGAGATGAGGCGGTGACCGCTACTGTGCCGCCGCCTCCTGCTGACATGGCATGGGTTCGTTTGGTCGACACAAGTCTTCCGTTTCCAGGGTTCTTTTCCGTAACAGGTGATTCCATTCCTGAGACGATGACTGGAGCACCTGCATATGTAATGGCGTCTCACAGTTGTGTGTTGCTTGAAGCCAGGAGGAGGATAGACGGTTAACGGTAGATTCTTGTTTATTATTGTTGAGGTTTGTTTATTATAAATGTTAACAAAAGGATTACACTCTTATAATACCGATATCATATGTAAAGTAATATTTGCAAATAATGATGCCATCCATGAGGCACAAAAAAGTTCGATCACACACAAACATAATTCTTGCTTGTCTTGGCATGTAGTAAACTTTGTTTTGGTTTAAATATGGAACAAATAAAATGGTTGGGCGATTTTTTGTATATAAAGCAATGTAAATGTGAAAATTGGATACATCAGCTTCAAGCGGCTTTAACTTTTGACCTGAAGCAGGTGGAATACAAAATTTAGAACCAAATTTCAAGTTAATCCAACTCATACCCATCAACCTAACTTAGTGGCTGGCTCCTCTCTTATTCCTAATCAAAATTTCTCACATGATTAACTAACTAAAGAGCAGTGTTTCACAGCATATCTTAAAATAGATGAGATTTTGATGCCGTTGCTGTTGCTCTTTGAGGTGAGACGGGAAAGGTCTACACGGTTTTGAGTGTATGTTTGGTGGACTTTCTATGAGCCCTTACCCTAGAGTAGAGTTGTAAAAAACATATAATAAAGTTAACTCTGTTTCTAATACACAATTTAACAATCAAAACTGTTTCATTAACATGAATGATACTTGTTTTGCCAGAAAGGACATGTAACAAACTTAACGTCATGACCAGTCCACAAACATCTGGGCAAAAGGAACCCAGACTTTCCTGTGTGCAGTGTTGTGCTGTGTTCAGTCTCGGACTATATAGTTACCAACGGCCCTTTTAGCGTAAGGGAGTTTGTTTTATATGTACACAAACAAACAAACTAGCCCAGCCCTGCCCTGCCCTACCTCCTGATTAAACTGAAGACCTAACTATCATTTCAGCAGCTGCACCCATTGCATTCACTCCAGAAATCCCAAGCAATGCCAAAGCAAGCTCATCCTCATCCCACTTCCTTAATCCCTTACTTAGCCTCTTCAAAACCTCCACATCCACCTCACCTACCCACTTGGGTGCACACAACACCATCAAGCTCACAAAACCAGACACATACGCCCTCCATGTCGCTTTATTACACCCAAGTGAAATCTTTCCATCAAGTGCACTCGCCATAAACTCCAAATGTCCCCCAAGAATAACTGCCCGTTTTTTAGATGCGGAACATGTGGAGTCAACGCCCCACGCAAACGCCCCCGAAAGCACCGCAAAGTATGCTAACGCATACCCCATCAGCATTCCGGTCATCCCGCCCGAGTCGCCTTTACTCGGGTCAGATTTGTGGCCCGATATGAACCACGAAGGTAACGTTTCTTTGATTAAAGATTGTACCAAATTTAACCGGCCCGTGATCCAGACAAGCGAGGCCCCGAGTGAGGCTGCTAGCTTGATACGGGTCATGGCTGAATATAAAGAAACCTCTCCGTATCTCATCACCATCCCGTTTTTGGGTTTCCTCAGTTTTTCAATCGGTACTTCCAATGATACAATATCTCTGACTGTATGCATTAATAAAGACACGATTTCTTCTGTCATAAACATGATGTCTCTAACGCTACGGTGGACTCGCAAGTAGAGGATTCCCGGGGCCACTGCAGAGATCCCGCCAGAACAGTGGGACCCGAAGCCATGGCCGAGAAGACTACCGGCACCACCGGCGGAGACGACACCACCACAGGAGATAGGTAGGCCGATGGCTGATGAGAAGCAAACTCTAAGAAGCTGGACAACGGCGTCACTGCTGTGATGGAATACTGTCCGGGATGCGGAGAAAACCAGATAGTCGGTCCAACGTTTGGCCTTTGAAACCCAAAGAGCGGAGATGATGGCCATGCATGGCCACGGGCAGCTTGCCCCGAGGGTGTTTAAGGCTGGGGCAGCTAGGTTTAGGACAGGTTCAGAGACTTTATCCACTTTATAGGTTATTGTCAGGCTCACTAGGGCAGCCATAGGTAAAGGAAGTGTTGGAGTAGTCCCCCCTGCAATGCAATGCAAGAAACACAGATTTTAAACAAACTGAAAATCTCCAATTTGGAGAAAGGGCCATATCCATTTATTACCTGCAGAAAGACTTGGAACGTCGACACCAGTGGCGGACAATATTTTGTTCATGTTTTTCTCGACCATGGCTAAGCTCGTGGCAGGACTTGGCCAGTCAGTCCCGTTCATGGCTGCAGGCTTCCATAGACCCCGTGTTGTTTCTGCTGAAAGGTAACTTACTATAGTTGCCATGGATGCAGGAAGGAAGTCAGCAAGATCTTTCAGCCCTGAAACATAAATACATATGTTCACAAAACAAAAAACACAAGTTGCTAATTTCATTCCAGAAATTTTAACAAGAAAGAGCAATGCTTCAAAAAGAAAAGAATGCTAAACTTTTTCATGTATAAAAAAATAACATGTTGACTAGAATTGATGTAAGCAATTTTTATCGACACTTTTACAAGTAACAAACCAATCACTTCTTTTCCTTTCCTGGTAAAACAAACATTCCACACATATTAAACTAGTGTTTCTAACTCTAACTCGCTTGTCATCATTTTTAAAAGAAACTCACAGGATGTGTTGAATCATGTAGAAGAACATTTATACTGTAAAAAATTGTGCTATTCACTTTTCTTGTGGGTATATCATATTTTAAGTGGCCTAAAGAAGCTAAGGGGTTGTTTCTTTTTTCACTTAAACCGGAAAAAACGACTTAATAGAGGAAGTCAGGAAAATGAGGCTTTTCCCATTCGTCCCTATCCTTTTACAAAATTGTCATAAATTTTTTCCTTCTATTGATGGGGAAAGCCTCCTTTTCTTCACTTTCTCTATTAAGTCATCTTTTCTACATTAAGTCAAAAGAAACACCTATATGGCTATATATAGCTTACTGGATATAACTTTTCCCCATCCATTAAATCAAAAAGAAACAGCACCCAAGTCTAATAACTCATACAGCACTAGCATGTGGGAGGATATAATATGTATAATAATTTATCATGAGTAATTCAACATGGCAAATCTTAAACAATAAAAGAAATGCAACTTGAAGGCTTTACAAGACTTGGATAGGATAAGTTAGAAACACTAACCTGTAGTGAGTTCACGGGGAGACAATCTTCCATGAGCACAGGCTGTCAAAGCAGCATCAAGCACAAAAGGAACAGCTTCCAGAATATCCCAAGCAGGAAGCTTAAGACGAAGAGTGCAATCCTCAGGTATGGATCCAGATGAACTACTGCTCCCAGATGTTGAAGTACACTGACCACCTCTATTCATTTTTCTAAACATCATATTCAAAAGGGCATCAAAAATTTGGTACACGGAAGTTCCAGGTTTAAGATCCGAGAGAGTTGAAGCAATACACGCTTGATGCTGTTTGTACCAAAATGCCAGTTTTGGAAAAGAATCCAAAAAAATCGGCTCTAAAGATGACAGATTACTCCTCCCAAAAATCCCCCTTCTGTTTTTTGGATCTAGTGAATTGACACATGATGCTAACTGGGAATTGCGTGCCAGCAAGAGGAACTCTGGTGTTAGCTGGGATCCTACAGGGGTTACATCCCCCATCACGTGTTCAAGAGGTGGTTGATGAAACCTCCATAGCTTTAGCAGAAGAGTGAATGCGTTTGAGAATACAGCAAGGGGACATAAATGTTCCCCAGTTGGAAGTGTCCAAGAAACTGTAGGCGAACATGATCCAAAAACCTCACATATGGGCATCAACACACCAGCAAGATGTGGGGCCTGGAAAAATAAAATATCAACATCAGCTTACAGGGAATAAGTGAATAAAAACACACTTTACTCTCGTTATCATTATGGGTAATGCAGTTTATTTTCTACCCATTTTAGCAATTTATATACCTATATATTTTTACCCATAATAGCAACATGTGTACATTACTTTACAAATATGGTCAATGTATTTTATTGGTTACATATTGATGCTATCATTGAAGAAATAAGTTATTATGGGTAAAAAATAAATTACAGTTTACACGATTCAAGGATGCTATATTATTGGTAAAAATAAATGTAAACATTGCCTATATTGGTAAAAAGAGTAAAGCATGTTGCCATTACCTGCTTAATGATACATCGGAATCAAGTGCACAAACCAAAGTTTACTTACCAAGCCATGTAAAGAAATAATCTGAACACAATCAATAGATGATATCCCAACAAGAAGAACATTTAGCATGGGAGCATAAACTATCAAATGGCTCTCGCTCCCAGAATAATCCACAGGAACTGGAGGTGCCAATAGCTTAATGATGAAAGACCCAATATGTTCCTGTAAATGTCACCCATGAAGACTTTAGAATTGTAAGAGTGGAATAAACCAAAAATATACATGAATTGAGTAAAAATCACCTGTATATTCCAACCGCGAGTCAGCGATGCTCCGCATAGGACAGTTGCAGCAGAAATCTTCTCCTCATCTGAACCGTTGATTGCAATTCCGTATATTTTCTCGATCTCTGCTAAGCTTCCATTAAAATCCAAGATCTCAAATTCAGTTCCCAAACCAGGGTTTAAAATATGAAAATCAAAAATTAAAACATTGTTGTTTGTTGGTGGGCATGGAGTTTAAAATATAAAATCAAGACATTGAAAACCACAAGGACAAGCATACCTTGAAGCTGGAATCGATACCAAAGTATGCATCATTTGAGTAGTCAAAGGAGACCCCTTCATCAATGATGACCAGCCAGGCATCTGGCCAGAAACAGCGCGAGGTATTTGGTTGCTGTGTCCCTTCACATAGCCAGGCCACAAATATGCTGATGTGTCCAAAAGATTCCTTGCAATACATGCCTCAACAATCAGATGTCTCAAATTTCCAGCTGCAAACAAGAAAGTAGATTCTAACAATAAGCTTTACTGAGGCAGATACCTTGAGTAAAAAAGATGGAAAATATTTTAATTTCACACCACAATTGACTGGCATGTCATTGAAGCTCACACCATCAAGGTAACCACTTCCAACTGGTATGCCCGAGA